CGTTAAAACAAGAGACAGAAATGACGTGCAAGTGACAAAGTCGAAGTCTGGTGCAGACTGCTGGACAGACCACCGCCTTATTATATGCAGACTCAGTTTCCATATTCAACCACCTAGGCGCCCACACTACTGAATTAAATATCCCCTTAGATTCCAAAAAATCCACTGTTGTCCCCCTGTCAGTCCCTGACATTTTCCTGTCTCTCCCTGACTTTCTCCTATGATCCCCTGTCGTTGTCCCTGCTCTCCCTGTCCAGTCCCTGTCGTCCCCTGTCGTTGTCCCTGCCTTCCCTGTTTACTCCCTGTCGTCCCCTGACATTCTCTGATCTCCCTGTCCAGTCCCTGTGGTCCCCTGTCGTTGTCCCTGCCTTCCCTGTCTACTCCCTGTCGTCCCCTGACATTTATTTTGGCCAAGAAAAGGAGTTTAAAAATATTTTTGTTGCATTTATGAGTGAAAAATTATATAGTCTTCAAAACTTTAAGAATTTGTTTTGAAAATATAGACTTAAATAGTAAAAAGTTAACACATTTTCAAATGCCTTAACTTAATCCCCTGTAATTTAGTTTCTATTACTTGTATCGATGTGATTTTTTTTTAGTTTGGAAGCATTTCGGGGGGAGAACGGCAGAGAATTGCATCGATTCTAAAGAAGAAATAAATTATATTTATTTCATCTTGTGATGCTAGACGGCATATACATGGAACTTTTTTAACCTTTTATATATATTTATAAACTTTTTCATTTTTTATTTGATCTACTTTGAAACATCTTTCAGCGTAATAACTGTCTTTGTAAAAGAACTAGATTGAAACATTTGGGATAAATTATCAAATCCTAGCATGGGACATTTTGTTTTTCCAAAGAATTAAATGAATAAAAATTAATTGAAAGGAATGATATATAAACGCATTAATAAAATAAATGTCTATTCAATAAATAAAACTTATTAAATTAACTAAAAATCTACTTTATCTACAAAATTTTATTTATTAGTTTTATTTTATTTATTTGCTGAAATATGCTACAAAGTTTTTTATTAGCATATTAAAACGACTTTTTATTACTTTAAGTCCATGATGGATATCAAAATAATCGTCTCAATTTGCACAATATTAATCTGTCAATTTGATTTTTGATACTTTGTTTTGATTAAAAAATCGGTTTTCAAAACCCTAACACGGTTTTGAAACAACATCAAAGCCATTGATGTTTTCCAGTAATTAACTCGTGGTACACAGTCATGACACCCATTATCTTTTTCACTGACCGCTATACCTTGTTTTTGTTGTGGCAGGACGACCGTGTGTTGTTTGCAGCTGTTTGAAATAACATTTTCTCCTTGTATTAGAACTTTTTTTTTCAATCAAAACAAAATAAAAGTATCAAAGAAGCTATGAACGGGTAAAGATTGTGCATAATGAGATGATTATTTTGATATCCATCATGGAAGTAAAATAATTAAAAGCTGAATTAATATGCTTAAAAAATACTTTGACACATATTTTTTCGTAAATAGTTTTTCATAAAATAAGCCAAAAAAAATCCCATTTTCGGGTATTTGATTGTTTAGTTTGCTTGTATCGTCAATTTTACAAATAAAAAAGATTGTTTTTATATTACATAAATACATGCAGTTAAAAAGTTTTTTTTTGTTTACTAACTATTTAAAATCAATTATTATATTGATTTTAAAAACTTAATTATTTCAAAATGCACCAATACCCTCTCCCCCTTTTTTTTTTTTTTTAACAAATGGTATAAAGTCAAACCAGTATTTAACGAATAAAACAGATTGAAGCTAAATAAATTAATAGTAAATATATAAAATAAAATAAATGAATAATGAAAAAATATATGAAAAAAATCAATTTATTTATATTTGAAATTGAAAATACAACAAATTAATGAATCATTTATATCTGCAAGAAATTGTGTTTCTTTATTTTAATTTTATATAAACACTTGCATCTGTAGATGTGCTACAAAGTATTTTATTAGCGTATTAAAACGACTTTTTATAATTTTAAGTACATAATGGCTATCAAAATAATCGTCTCATTATGCACAATATTAATCTGTCAATTTGATTTTTGATACTTTGTTTTGATTAAAAAATCGGTTTTCAAAACCCTAACACGATTCTGAAAGAACATCAAAGCCATTGATGTTTACCAGTAATTAGCTCGTGGTACACAGTCATGACACCTATTGTCTTTCTCGCTGACCGCTATACCTTGTTTATGTTATGTTCAGAGTGACCGTGTACAGTTTGCAACTCTTTGAAATAACATTTTCTCTTTGTATGAGAACTTTTTTTTCAATCAAAACAAAATAAAAGTATCAAAGAAGCTATTGACGGGTAAAGATTGTGCATAATGAGACGATTTTTTTGATATCCATCATGGAAGTAAAATAATTAAAAGCAGTTTAAATATGCTTCAAAAATACTTAGATACATATTTATCGTAAATCATTTTACATAGAATATGCCAAACCAATCCCATTTTCGGGTATTTGATTATTTAGTTTGTTTGTATCGTCAATTTTAAAAATAAAAACATTGTTTTAATAATGATTAAATACATCCTGTTAATAAATTTATTTTTTTTTATTTACTAAATATCTAAAATCAATAAATGTATTGGTTTTAAACAATAAAATATTCTAAAATGCACCAATTTCCCCTGCTAACTTTTTTTCTTACAAATGGTACAAAGTCAAACCAGTATTTAATGAATAAAACAGATTACAGCGAAATAAATACATAGTAAATAAATAAAATAAAATTTTAAAAAAATGAAATAATTATAAATAAAATATCTATTTATTTTTGAAAATGAAAATACAACAAATAAGTCAATCATTTATATCCGCGAGAAATTGCATTTTCTTTAGTTTTATTTTATTCATGTTTTATTCATTTAATAATGTTGTGACTTTTTACCTTTTGTAAGAAAAAAAAAAAGAAAAAAAACAGCAGGGGTATTTGCGCATTTTGGAATATTTTAGTTTTTAAAATCAATACAATAAATGATTTTAAATAGTTAGTAAATAAACAAATAAATAATCTAATTAACTGCATGTATTTAATCATTATAAAACAATGTTTTTATTTTTAAAATTGACGATACAAGCAAACTAAATAATCATATACCCGAAAATGGGATTTGTTTGGCATATTCTATGTAAACTGATTTACGATAAATATGTATCAAAGTATTTTTGAAGCATATTAAAACTGTTTTTAATTATTTTACTTCCATGATGGATATCAAAATAATCGTCTCATTATGCACAATCTTAATCCGTCAATAGTTTTTTTTAATACTTTTATTTTGTTTTGATTGAAAAAAGCAGTTCTCATACAAAGAGAAAATGTTATTTCAAACAGTTGCAAACTACACACGGTCGTCCTGCCACAACATAAACAAGGTATAGCAGTCAGTGAAAAAGATAATGGGTGTCATGACCGTGTACCCCTTGTTAATTACTGGTAAACATCCATGGCTTTGATGTTGTTTCAGAATCGTGTTAGGGTTTTGAAAACCGATTTTTTAATCAAACAAAGTATCAAAAATCTAATTGACAGATTAATATTGTGCATAATGAGACGATTATTTTGATATCCATCATGGACTTAAAGTAACAAAAAGTCGTTTAAATATGCTAATAAAATACTTTGTAGCATATTTCAGCAAATAAATAAGATAAAATTAATAAAACAAATTTTGGGGATATTTATTTATTTATTTATTTAATTAATTAATTAATTGATTAATTTATTTATTTATTTATTCTTAATTCAGTCGATTTGTAGATTTATTCACATAAGAAAATAAATGAATAAAGTAGATTTTTAGTTTATTTGATAATTTTTGTTTATTGAATAGACATATATTTTATTAATACATTTATATGTCATTGCTTTCAATTAATTTTTTATTCATTTAATTCTTTGGGAAAACAAAATATCTCACGCATTGATTTGATAATGTATTCCCAAATGTTTCAATCTAGTTCTTTTACAAGAAGTGTTGTCACAGATGTTTCAAAGTAGATCAAATGAAAAATGAAAAAGTTTATGAATATATATAAAAGGTTCATAAAGCACAATGTAATTGCCGTCTACCATCACAAGATAAAATAAATTGGTATTTTATTTCTTCTTTAAAATGATGCAATTCTCTGCCGTTCTCCCCCCAAAATCCTACCAAACTGAAAACAATCACATTGATACAAGTGATAGAATCTAAATTACAGGGGATTAAGTTAAGGCATTAAAAATGTGTTAACTTTTTACTAAGTCTATATTTTCAAAAAAAAACACTTAAAGTTTTCAAGACTATATCATTTTCCACCCATAAATGCAACAAAAATATTTTTAAACCTTCTTTTCTTGGCCAAAATAAATGTCAGGGGACGACAGGGAGTAGACAGGGAAGGCAGGGACAACGACAGGGGACAACAGGGACTGGTCAGGGAGATCAGAGAATGTCAGGGGACGACAGGGAGTAGACAAGGAAGGCAGGGACAACGACAGGGGACGACAGGGACTGGACAGGGAGAGCAGGGACAACGACAGGGGATCATAGGAGAAAGTCAGGGAGAGACAGGAAAATGTCAGGGACTGACAGGGGGACAACAGGGGATTTTTTGGAATCTAAGGGGATATTTAATTCAGTAGTGCCACAAGGAAAGAAACCACCCAAGCGACTAAACTACAAAATGATGATATTGAGCAGCAAGTCGCAGACGTTTTGGACGAAAAATTTGGGTCTTTGCCTTTGAACTCTGGCAACATTGAGCAGGACTGGGCAGAGTTCAGGAACACTGTACACTCTGTATGTGTCGACACACTAGGTCCTAAAAAGCATGCACACCAGGATTGGTTTGGTGAAAATAACGAGGCCATTGACAAACTGCTTGAAGATAAGAACAGACTCTTAAAGCAAAACCTTTTAAAAAAAGACCCCATCCAAAACAGCTGCTCTTCACCAAATGAAGCACATTGTGCAGACTGAACTAAGGCATATGAAAGACAAATGGCTTAGTCAAAAAGCCGAAGAAATTCAGGGTTGTGCTGACATCCACAACTCCAAATGCTTTTACCAAGCCATAAGAATGCTGTATGGACCTCAATCTGCTGGTACATCACCACTGCTCTCAATTGATGGAACCAAACTCATTACTGACAAGCCTGGTTTTCTTGACAGGTGGGCAGATCATTTCAGTTCGGTCCTATACAGGCCATCTTCAGTCAGCAACGATGCCATAAATCGTTTACCTCAGATCCCAATCAACACTGCACTTGACGACCCTCCATCTGCCACTGAGACTCTGAAAGCAATAAAGCAAATGTCAACAGGCAAAACTCCCGGAGCCAATGCTATTCCAGCTGAGATTTATAAATCTGCCGGACCACTGATGACTCAGAATTTGACCAAAATGTTCCAGGCAATGTGGAAAATGAAACCTTACCACAGGACTTAAAAAATACTTCAATAGTTCACCTATACAAGCGTAAAGGCAACATAAATTCCTGTGATAACCATAGAGGAATCTCACTCCTCTCCATTGCTGGAAAGATCCTTGCACGTATAATTCTGAACAGACTTCTTCGCCATCTTGAATATGGGCTACTACCGGAGAGTCAATGTGGGTTCCGCTCAGGCCGTGGAACAGTGGACATGATTTTTGCTGCCAAACAACTGCAGGAAAAATGCCAAGAACAGAATACCAGCCTATACACAAAGTTCTTAGACCTCACAAAACCTTTTGATACAGTCAACAGAACAGGTTTATGGCTAATTATGGAGAAATTTGGTGTCCACCTTGATTCATGATGACATGCAGGCCCACGTTCTTGGTGATGGAAACCAATCTGCTCCTTTTGAGGGCACAAATGGTGTTAAGCAAGGCTGTGTTCTTGCCCCTACGCTGTTCAGCTTGATGTTCACAACTATGCTGACAGAAGCTTTTTCGGAGAATGATCCAGGCATTGACATCAGATACCGTACGGCTGGGGGAGTCTTCAATCTGCAACGTCTGAGAGCGAAGACTAAGGTCCACATTGAAAGGCTGTGAGACTTCTTATTCGCAGACGATTGCGCCCTAAATGCATCTACAGAGGCTGACATGCAAACAAGCCTGAACAGGTTTTCGGATGCTTGTGACAACTTTGGTTTGACAATAAGCACTAAGAAAACTGAAGTCATGTTCCAGCCGGCACCAAACCTCTCTTATACTGAGCCTAACATCTACATCAAATCTGAGCGCCTCAAACCTGTGGAAAAGTTTATGTATCTTGGTTGCACACTGTCCATATTGATGATGAAGTTAACTCACGCATAGCCAAAGCAAGCTCTGCCTTTGGTCGCCTAAACAAAGCAGTATGGGGCCGACGTGGCATTACCACAATAACAAAGCTGAGTGTGTACAGAGCAGTTGTACTGACATCTTTACTTTATGCTTGTGAGACTTGGACGGTGTACCAAGAGACACACCAGGAAACGTGCAAACCATTTCCATGCAATTTGTCTCCGGAAAATATTGGGCATCAAATGGCAAGACAGGATCCCGGACACAGACACTACTGGACGAAAGTGTCAGAGAATCCCAAATTTTACTGATAATGTTTGATAATTACTGATACGGTGCTGTTCTTGCTGATAATTACTGATATTTACTGTCATTATTGCTGTTGTTGCTGATAATTTTTGTTGTTGCTGATAAATACTGATACTTACTGTCGTCTTTTACTGTGGAGTCTGATAAATACTGATAAATACTGTTGAGGTACTGTCGCTGCTGAGAATTATTGATAATTACTGTTGAGGTACTGTCGATGCTGAGATTTACAGATAAACTGATAATTACTGTGGTCATTGTTTTTAACCTGGGAATGGATTAAAATAGCCTGAGAAATGATTATTTGTTTTTAAAAAAATGTATTTTAACAAATTTATTACAGTAAATTATAAAATAAATTATTCTAAATAAAAAAGTCACGTTTTAATAATTTGTTTTCAGTTTTCAGCTATTGATTTTATTGTAATCATTTTTAAATCATAATGTTAACATAAGCTTTCATACATGTTTATGTTTTTCTTTAAATTTCTCCTTACACGTAGATGACATTATCTAAGGAAAATAATTCTCTTGTATTTGCAGTGATATTTTTTCCCAAGTTCTTTTTAGCTTACCTGAGCCGAAGGCTCAAGTGAGCTTTTCTGATCACATTTTGTCCGTCGTCCGTCCGTCTGTCTAGCTGTCTGTCCGTCTGTCTGTCCATCTGTAAACTTTTCACATTTTCGACTTCTTCTCAAGAACCACTGGGCCAATTTTGACCAAACTTAATACAAAGCATCCTTGGGTAAAGGGAAATTTAAATTGTTAAAATAAAGGGACATATCCCCTCGCAAAGGGAGATAATCATGAAAAGACAAAAATAGGGTTGGGTCATTAAAAAATCTTCTTCTCAAGAACCACTGGGCCAGTAAAGCTGAAACTTATGTGGAAGCATCCTGGGGTAGTGTAGATTCTAAATTGTTCAAATCATGACCCCTGGGGAAGGTCGGGGCCACAATGGGGAATAGAAAAAATTTTTATATCGAAATATATAGGAAAAATCTTTGAAAATCTTCTTCTCAAGAACCACTGGGCCAGAAAAGCTGAAACTTATGTGGAAGCATCCTGGTATAATGTAGATTCTAAATTGTTAAAATCATGACCCCTGGGGAAAGGGTGGGGCCACAATGGGGAATCAAAGTTTTATATAGAAATATATAGGAAAAATCTTTGAAAATCTTCCTTCTCAAGAACCACTGGGCCAGAAAAGCTGAAACTTATGTGGAAGCATCCTGGTATAATGTAGATTCTTAATTGTTAAAATAAAGACCCCCCGGGGGGAAAGGGGGGGGCCACAATGGGGAATCAAAGTTTTATATCAAATATATAGGAAAAATCTTTGAAAATCTTCTTCTAAGAACCACTGGGCCAGAAAAAGTGAAACTTATGTGGGGAAACATTCTGGGGTAGTGTAAATTCTAAATTTTAGGAATCATGGCCCCCGGGGGAAGGGCGGGGCCATTATAGGGAATCAAAGTTTTATATAGAAATATATAGGAAAATTCTTTGAAAATTTTTTTCTCAGGAACCACTGGGCCAAAAAAGCTGAAACTTATGTGGAAGCATCCTGGTATAATGTAGATTCTAAATTGTTCAAATAATGACTCCCGGGGGAAGGGCTGGGCCACAATGGGGAATCAAAGTTTAATATAGAAATATATAGGAAAAATCTTTGAAAATCTTCTTCTCAAGAACCACTGGGCCAGAAAAAGTGAAGCTTATGTGGAAGCATTCTGGGGTAGTGTAAATTCTAAATTGTAGGAATCATGACCCCCGGGGGAAGGTCGGAGCCATTATAGGGAATCAAAGTTTTACATAGAAATATATAGGAAAAATCTTTGAAAATCTTCTTCTCCGGAAGCACTGGGCCAAAAAAGCTAAACATATGTGCCCATGGAAGGATCATGGGGTAGTGTAGATTTCAAAATGTCTAAATTATGATCAGTGGGGTAGGGTGGGTATGCATTATGTATAACAAGGGGGAAATCTGGTAAAGAACAGAAATGGTCAAAGCTTCTCAGGTGAGCGATGTGGCCCATGGGCCTCTTGTTTAAAAAATTTTATTCACAAAAGTTCAAAAAAATCTCATCTCATATTTTTCTCACGTGTATTTGTACTGTCATCAAAAGCTTTTTTTTGGGGGGTATCTTTAGAACTTCAATACAGTCAATGGTTGTAAATATCAATTTATTTTACCATGTGGAGAACTGAAAATACAGGAGCACATTAAGTTGAAAACAACCCCCCCCCCCCTTTCCATTTACTTTTAAATTAAGCTCTCATTTTAATTTAACAAGACAGTATTAAATATTTGTCATAAAATCTCCTCTTGAAGCGTACACTTGTTATTTTATAGAAGAATGTGACAATAATTAAATCGAAGCATCTTTAATTATTTATATATATATATTATGTAGACAGCGCTCTAGTTCTCCGATGTCCTCCCTGCGAATTTTATATCATTGTGCCGCTCTCTAGCTTTCTTTCTCTCTCTCTTCTTTTTAAATTAAGTATTGTACACTACATGACATAAATCTTATGCAGTGTGATTTTCAGTCAATGAACTACACGTCTTTCTTTAGGCTTTTTCTTCTTTCATTGTACATACAGTTTTAAGTTTACGGGCATATGGCTTCTAATATTATGCGCCACTCCTTAAACATCTTATATGGGGTCAGTCAGTTAAAAAACAAAATAAAATAAATAAAACTTTGTGTTTGTTCTGGAACATACATGTCAACCACGTGTAAAAGTTCTTCTTTCGTTTTAGAATCGGGTCAATTATTAGTACATTCTGCCATAGGGATATCGTTACGGCTTGCTTTTTTGTAAAATTAGAATTTTGTGCAGAGATTATAATTTTTTTTTAAATTCCATTTTTTTCCGAGACCTTTGTATAAAACGAACAGTACAGACTGGGTGCTTATTTATATGATTTTACTTGATTGTAGCACAAAAAGGAGGGGGGTGAAATACTGTTTACATTTAAGTGATAGCCGATAGGGCAAGGTCTGTTCTTTAGTTGTGTGTTTTACAAGTCATGCAAGTTATGATATTATTTTTATCGAATTTTTTATATGCACGAATAAAATTATTTTAGAGAATCAATTGCAATGAACAATACAAAATTCAGAACTGTAGAAATTTTTAAAACATTTATTCATGAGTGCGATAAACAATGTCATGTTTCTGACATTCAAAATCCATACATTTAAAGGTTTTTTTTCTTGGATTAAGCGAAGTGGAGTTTCCCTGCATCTGAATTGTGAACAAGTTATGCTAAAATTATTTCAAAAAAGTGCTTCACTAAACAATAGTTCTATTTATATGATTGTATATTTTGCGCATTTTTTTTTTATTAAAAGGTGAAGTCAATTTCTCGTCTATGTATTTACCAGTCCCAAACATCTTTAAACAGAGATTCAGAATTGAAAATACATGTGACCACCTCCCCCGGGATATTCCTTTATCTGATAAACAAAATATACTTCCCGGCCTAAATTCCCTTACTTAGCATTTATAGCAACCTACAAATTTTTTTTGTTTAGTTTCTTATTCACGCATGCCTTTTACCTACTGTTATATATAAAATAACCTACATTTTATATGTTTTTGTGGTCTCTGTATACTATTGTAAAATGGTAAACAGATTCAAATAAATGATTGATTGATTGAAGAAATATGTGTAAAACTAAAAGATGAAATTAAATACTGAAGAAAGATAGATCTTTGTGAATTGAAATAATAATTATAAATGTCTATACAACGTACATGATGTACATGTATATATCTTCTTTTTATCAATCAATTTATCAATTTTTATTCGTCATCAAATTCAATATTACGGAATTTTTTTTTTTTTT